CATCATTTCGTAGTTGTAAATATGAAATATAAACAGTGAGGATATCATACAGCTTGCAGCTAGCACAGTGTGCGCAGTGACTGTGTGTCTATAGAATCAAGACAACCTGAACATTTTTTACAATTTCAAAAGTACTGAATAATCTGTTAAGTAGAATTCTTTATGTTCAATGGTTACTGATTAGTAGCGTTTGGTTTAAATAAATATTCAAACTATATTGGCTGCAGATTGATCACAGAGATTAGGGTTCAGTTCGCCAAATCCCAAAAGCAATGCAAACAAGACATCGCTGAAACATGTTAAATAATTTACTGTAATTATGCATAAAAAGTCCTGAAGTTTATACACATTTAAATGTGTAGGACAGCAACTTTATTGACCTACAAGTATCCTGTTGGTCATCATCGTTTCACTTGTTCATGTATTCATGAAGTTGTGGTGTGCATCTTTCACCAACCCATCTTTTACAGTTGAAAGTAATTGCTATGCTGTGTTTTCTGCTCGCATTAAAGAAGACATCAAGAGGTGCATTATGCAGCTCCAGTTGTTAACTAGGATACTGATATCTGGCCCTCGGGATTTGGTTTTCCTTTGATGACTACACTGTCATCAGTGATGTGTGGCTGGGTGCTCCCTCCGGACCACACTTCATGAGATGATCCCTCAGCTTCACCTACACAATAACACCAAGTCCACAGCCCTATCAACATTGATTATCTTGTCCAACATGTGGATGGTGTAATGTGGTGCGAGAATGGTGTAGTGTGGTGCGAGAATGGCGTGTAAGAATGGTGTAGTCAGACATGAGAAATTTCCACGAATCCACAGATTTCTGGGATTTTTGTTTCATTTTGAATGTTTTTGAGATTGATGTAATTCTGCAATAAAATGTGGTTCAAGGATGGTGTAATGTGGTGCAAGGATGGTGTAATGTGGTTCAAAGATGGTGTAATGTGGTAATGTGGTTCAAGGATGGTGTAATGTGGTGCAAGGATGGTGTAGTGTGGTTCAAGGATGGTGTAATGTGGTTCAAGAATGGTGTAGTGTGGTTCAAGGATGGTGTAGTGTAATGTGGTTCAAGGATGGTGTAGTGTGGTTCAAGGATGGTGTAGTGTGGTTCAAGGATGGTGTAATGTGGTTCAAGGATGGTGTAATGTGGTACAAGGATGGTGTAATGTGGGAATGTGGTTCAAGGATGGTGTAGTGTGGTTCAAGGATGATGGTGTAGTGTGGTTCAAGGATGGTGTAATGTGGTTCAAGGATGGTGTAGTGTGGTTCAAGGATGGTGTTGTGTGGTTCAAGGATGTGTAGTGTGGTTCAAGGATGGTGTAATGTGGTTCAAGTATGGTGTAGTATGGATCAAGGATTGTGTAATGTGGTTCAAGAATGGTGTAATGTGGTTCAAGGATGGTATAGTGTGATTCAAGGATGGTGTCATGTGGTGCAAGGATGGTGTAGTGTGGTTCAAAGATGGTGTAGTCTGGTTCAAGGATGATGTAGTCTGGTTCAAGGATGGTGTAGTCTGGTTCAAGGATGGTGTAGTGTGGTGCAAGGATGGTGTAGTATGGTGCAAGGATGGTGTAGTGTGGTTCAAGGATGGTGTAATGTATTGGTAGTCCCAGACAGGTGTTGTGTGAAAATGGTGTAGTCTTGTGCGTTTTGTAAAGTATTAGCTGTAAGGAATTACAGACATTCTTTCCGAGGGCATTAATGTCATAGATCACAAGTGGCTCCAGGAATGATAAACCACAATCATCGTAGTTTTGAGTAGGTTCTTACCATTCTTCCCCATAATCAAATTAGTTCAAATGTTTCTAGACCACATTACTAACTACCTTAAAACTTCCTAGCGGCTGTAAAATCAAACTAATAGTACAAGGCACAACGGTGCTTGACTTGGCTCCTGTCTATTTAAACTAGAGCGAGTGAGTGAGTTTAGTTTTACGCCACACTCAGCAATATTCCAGCTATATGGCCGCAGTATGTAAATAATCGAGTCTGGACCAGACAATCCAGTGATCAACAACATGAGTATCGATCTGCGCAATTGGGAACCAATGACATGTGTCAACCAAGTCAGCGAGCCTGACCACCCGATCCCGTTTATCACCTCTTACGACAAGCATGGGTTACTGAAGATCGATATTCTAACCTGGACCTTCAGGGGTCAGTTAAAACAAAAGATGTCAGCACTTTATGTCAATATGTAAGGTTTTATTTACAAAATTATAATATGCATGTTGTAAAGTTACTTTCATTTCAATTCAAGTCTTTTTCCATGCTCATGCATTTCACAGTTCAACAAATCTTATGCATGTTGCCAAAAGAACAAAGTAGCGGGGAAAGTAACATTTCCAAACTTCCCACAAGACCTAAGGACCAGTGAGTGGACAATAATTAGTGGTTGTGTCTGAACTTCACTGGTCCAAAATAACATTTGTAGATTTACGTAACTATCAATGCAAAATTCACTGGCCACCTGGACCACTGCAAACTTATCATTTAGTAGTCCTAATAAATTGTTACTAGCCAGGGACCTCAGGACCAGCGTAAATTTCGTACACTGAGTAGAATTCAAAAATAAACCTGTTTTCACTATCCAAAATTACTTTTAAATGTAGGCTTCAGTCCAAAATCTGCTAATTTTTTCCAATTGTTTCCATTTTTACAACCTACATAATCAGTTGTAGTTATTAAAACTACATGTGGACTTGTACCTTGTACAAATCACCTGCAGTAACTTTGCTTGCCTGGTTTTATGATTGTACACTTATACAAAATAATGTAAAATATAATAATTTGTTGCTTTTTATGCATTGTGTTTTCAAATGTGAGTAAACAGTTTTAGAAGTCAACATCTTCAAGTGTAAGAATGTCATTTGAAGTTGGTGACATGTTTTGACATAAATGTATCAGTGGATCAGCTGCCTATGTTGAAGTTTCGAACTTAAAAGAATGCCATACACCCAGAGCATCACTGGATGGTACTTGAATAGACCTGGGCCCACTTGCACAGAGCAGTCTTAGTTACAATCAATCTTAGGGCCTTACAATCAACTTTACAATCAACATACAATTGCCCTAATCCACTTGCACAAAGCCGATCTTAACGCGATTGTAAGACCGCATGGATTTAAGATCGCGATCTTAGCTAAGATCGCACTCTTCAACGGTGGAGGTGCGAATTTCTTAAACTACGACTCCTGTCTACAGTTGTCTGCAAGTGCGCATAGCATACTGCGCAAATAGAGAGTGATACTGGTCCCTGCACACAATACATACCTCCCTCAATCGCACTTTGCAGAATTTTCATGACAAACATTCCAAGAAATCTTGAAGGAAACGATTACGTGGACGATAGCATATATTTTTCTACATTTTAACTGTCTTGATTTATGAATTGAGAATGTGATATTTCAACCACGGAAATACCTACCCATGTTTTATGAAAATATTGAACTGAGAAAAATACATTCATAAATTTGGGTCTAGATTTAGTGACTTAATAATTATGAAAATTATAATAATATATCTAATATCGACAATATTTACTTATGATATAACACCTAAATGCATGATTTGCCACTGGTTGTCAATGAGACATTGTTTAATGCACAGCTGTTTTTTTCCTTTTGTTTTTGTGTGTGTAAAATCAAAATATACCCTAGAAGTATTGGTTTTCTCACAATATAACCAGAAAATGTAATATGGCTACAGAAGTGTTGTAAAGAATTCATGACAGGGAAATCTGAATATCAAATAATATATCGAGAGAGCAGTTGTTAAATACTCATTCACAGTATATTAATGATATGACCCTATTATGCTGATAAATATTTTTCTAAAAGTGAAATTAAAATTGAATCTTGATTTTGCACGCTTAACTTGATTACTTTAATGATTAACTAAGACAAAATCACTCCATCACCGAAAAGAAAATATCTTGAGCTCTGCGATTGGGCATGACAGACTCTACGGCAACGGCATAAGCCAGGGGAAACCACTCCCATCTTGCCCATAAACTAAAATTATCTGCTCTTGAGTTAATGAAAAGGTCACGGCCATTGTTAATCGCACGCTGACACCATTTGCTAGTATCCTTCCTTGATTATCAAAAGGTATGTTGTTTCACACTTATTCCAACATTGAATCGGTTGGGAATAGTACTTTGTGATATCGACTTCGATAGTTCTGTGGTTCACTACAGCAAATAACAATGTATCCGGCGTTAAATCGGTTGTGCATTCTCCGTGTTGTTGAAGTGTCGAGGCGAATCATACAGTACAGTTTTATGCAATATAAAAGCACGCTATCTCCAAACGTAAAGCTGATTATTTGCGTGAAACTTGAACACCATTTTGTCACAGACTACAATGATCTTAGCTCCTTACAATTGGTCTGGACCAATTGTAAGTTTCGATTGTAACTTACAACGATCTTAGCCTACAATCGCTTTGTGCAAGTCGATGGCGATTGTAGCCGAAGCCTAAGATCGCGATCTTAAGGATTTACAATAATTGTAGCGATAAGATCGTTCTGTGCAAGTGGGCCCTGGACTATGTACCAAGATGCAGTTGCTTACTTGGAATCAGCATCCTGAAATCTTTCATTTTTATTCTATATCAGCGTGTGGATGACACAAAGAAAGAATGAATGAAATGTATAATCAACCACTGAAAAGCCAAGTGATTTATTGAAAACTGAACTTTCCAAGAGCATTACAGCAAACAAATTTACAGCAAACGCTCTACTTGGCTTACCTATAGGTGACAGATACATATCCCCCTCCTTACCAGTGTGCTATAGTTTGAGGATGGGGATGATTCAAGATGTGATCTGCCCATTCTTTAGGTAGGCTGTATCTGTAGTCTCAGCTTTGATTTATCCATTGTGTATATCTCATGTAGAAGAGTTTTCTTTGTCAGGGATAAAATGAGTGCTGATTTAGTTGCTCCATCTAGATGTTATGTGTTCTTAAATCATTTTGTTGTGTATTTCAGACTGAACCACCCCAACATCGTACAGCTGGTGGATGTGTTTGATGACAAGACACATGTCTTCCTGGTGATGGAACTGTGAGTAGCTACTGGGTCACCAGTCATGGTGTGTTAGAATCACACGCATTGATCAGCTGCCACATGTTCAGGTCACAACATCCTCATATTCATTTCAACAGTGAGCCTGTCACAGAGCAGTAGAGTCAACCATGTCACAATAGAGTCCACCATGTCATATTCAGATCACAATTGAGTCAACCATGTCACATTTGGGTCACAGTAGAGTCCACCATGTCACATTTGGGTCAGTAGAATCAACCATGTCCCATTTGGGTCACAGTAGAGTGAACCATGTCACATTTGGGTCACAGTAGAGACAACAATGTAACGTTTGGGTCACAGTAGAGTCAATCATGTCACATTTGGGTCACATTAGAGTCAACCATGTCACATTTAGGTTGCAGTAGAGTGAACCATGTCACATTTGGGTCACAATTGAGTCAATAAAGTCACATTTGAGTCACAGAGTCAACCATGTCACATTTGGGTCACAATAGAGACAACAATGTCCCATTTGGGTCACGTTAGAGTCAACCATGTCACAGTAGAGTCAATCATGTCCCATTTGGGTCACAGTAGAGTCAACCATGTCCCATTTTGGTCATAGTAGAGTCAGCCATGTCACATTTGGTCACAATAGAGACAACAATGTCACATTTGGGTCACAGTAGAGTGAACCATGTCACATGTAGGTCACAGTAGAGTGAACCATGTCACATTTGGGTCACAATCGAGTCAACCATGTCACATTTAGGTCACAGTAGAGTGAACCATGTCACATTTGGGTCACAATATAGTCAACCATGTCTCATTTGGGTCACTGTAGACTCAACCATGTCATAGTAGAGTCAATCATGTCACAATTGGGGCACAGTTATGAGTCAACCATGTTACATTTGGGTCACAATAGAGTCAAACATGTCACATTTGGGTCACAGTAGAGTCAACCACAGTAGAGTTACTATCAACAACCACCATGCCATTTTGTACTGGTAGTGCTTTGTGGCATATGGCTATTGAGTGAGTGAGTGAGTTTAGTTTTATGCCACATTCCAGCAGTATTCCAGCTGTCAGTCTGTAAATATTTGAGTCTGGGCCAGACAATCCAGTGATCAACAGCATGAGCATTGATCTATAGCTATTGAAGAGATTCCTGATAGAAATGCGTTCAAATGTAGACAAATAATTCATCCTGAACACTGGGATATTTTGAGGAAGTGTCATGTTGTTGACAAATTACTGTGGCTCTCAGATTGACACAACAGTACTTACCAGGAGATATGCACAGGGTAGTTCCCAGAAGGTGGTTGTGAATGGCTGAACCTCAGCCTCTGATGAGGTATTTTCAGTTACTTGGCCTTTTCAGAGACATCACTAACAATTTGTAACAGAATCCCGCCCCCACCCTCTCGACTTTGGCTTCATTCTATCATAGAGTTTCATGATCCCTCATATTCCCAGCTTAGACCTTGGCTTGGAGACAGATAGATGCCAGTCCTCATCCCTTCAGCCTAGTTCCCTTTGTGCAACAATAAGAAGATGGAGAGACAAGTAGCTGATCAAGTACATCCTGAATAATTCTCCCTGATCTGTCTGCCCATGCTCCAAGGTCAGCGTCCCTCCATCTTCCTGCATTCTGCACTAGCAGACATATAAACACACCCCTGGAGGGCCCTTTATTCAAAATAGGCTCAAAGTGCGTCAAGCTGTAGTAACAGTGTCAGATTCAATTATTTCTAGGCAGCAGTGATATAGGTACAGTACTATGGTAAACAACATTCACTCAGTTGTATTAACACAGAACCTGGCTACAGACAACAAGCTGACAATGAGATATATCACGTGTGCTTGATACTGATTAAAGTGCAGGGGACCCACAGAGAGTTGAAATGAGTCCTGTGGGATCCATTTCATGGCTTGGTGATAAATGTGGAAAGAGGACTTATGTGAAATGATGCTGATTAAATCAGTGTTCTCCAATGATACAGGTCAAGCTGGGCTTGTCCTTGGCTGGTAATTACTGTTCTCTAGTGATGTTTGTGTGTGAGATTTGGTGCAACGGGTGTGCTGAAAGCCCTCTTGGTAGAAGCTGGTGTCAGACTGTCATTGTCTCTAACAGTACAAGCATTTTGTGGAGCGATGGGGTAGCCTTGTGGTTAAAGTGTTCGATCGTCACGCCGAAGACCCGAGTTTGATTCCCCTAATGGGTACAATATGTGAAGCCCATTTCTGGTGTTCCCCGCTGTGATATTGCTGGAATAATGCTAAAATGCAACGTAAAACTAAAACTCACTCACTCACTCATGAGCATTTTGTACATTAAGTTAACCTTTTATTAAACTAACAGATAACAGATGAAGAATAAAAGCTAAGAGTCTTTCGGAAATGAGAAAAATAATAATTGGTATATAGATTTCCTATTTGCCAGAAATACAGCCATGTTTTGGCAAGCATACTTCTAGTGTTACACTGTTATGTGTTTGTGAAGAATCAGATGCCAATTAAGTAGATTATCTCCCTTCGGAAGATCAGGTGTTTTGAAGATACCCAGCAAAGATCAATACAGTAATGAGCCAACATTGTTCTTCATTGACCACAGCATGGTAGATACACTGAGGACATCAGCTTGCGTGTCCTGTTTCTGAAACATCAAGTAAACATGTGGAGATTGTTTATGATGATATTGAATGTAAGGATTATGTTTATTGGAATTCAGAATAAAAAGACCAAGTGAACAGACACAGTAACATATTTCAAACAGGACCAAGCTAATAGACACAGTAACATATTTCAGACAGGACCAAGTTAACAGACACAGTAACATATTTCAAACAGGACCAAGCTAATAGACACAGTAACATATTTCAAACAGGACAGACACAGTAACATATTTCAAACAGGACCAAGCTAATAGACACAGTAACATATTTCAGACAGGACCAAGTTAACAGACACAGTAACATATTTCAAACAGGACCAAGTTAACCGACACAGTAACATATTTCAAACAGGACCAAGCTAACAGACACAGTAACATATTTCAAACAGGACCAAGTGAACAGACACAGTAACATATTTCAAACAGGACCAAGCTAATAGACACAGTAACATATTTCAGACAGGACCAAGTGAACAGACACAGTAACATATTTCAAACAGGACCAAGCTAATAGACACAGTAACATATTTCAGACAGGACCAAGCTAACCGACACAGTAACATATTTCAGACAGGACCAAGTTAACAGACACAGTAACATATTTCAAACAGGACCAAGCTAACAGACACAGTAACATATTTCAAACAGGACCAAGTGAACAGACACAGTAACATATTTCAAACAGGACCAAGTTAACAGACACAGTAACATATTTCAGACAGGACCAAGTTAACCGACACAGTAACATATTTCAAACAGGACCAAGTTAACAGACACAGTAACATATTTCAAACAGGACCAAGTTAACAGACACAGTAACATATTTCAGACAGGACCATTAGTTAACAGACACAGTAACATATTTCAGACAGGACCATTAGTTAACAGACACAGTAACATATTTCAGACAGGACCAAGTTAACCGACACAGTAACATATTTCAGACAGGACCATTAGTTAACAGACACAGTAACATATTTCAGACAGGACCATTAGTTAACAGACACAGTAACATATTTCAAACAGGACCAAGCTAACAGACACAGTAACATATTTCAGACAGGACCAAGTTAACAGACACAGTAACATATTTCAGACAGGACCATTAGTTAACAGACACAGTAACATATTTCAGACAGGACCATTAGTTAACAGACACAGTAACATATTTCAAACAGACTGTCCAGGGTTGTATTATAGCTAAGATCTGATAAATACAGGTAACACAGGTTCTGGAATGTTGTTTGTTGTTTTGGTAGAATGCTTGAACAACTTTGAAAGATGTGGGAGAGGTTGAACTGATGGCTTGGTGTTTTCAGTGTCACTGGTGGGGAGCTGTTTGACAGAATCGTGGAGAAAGGAAGCTATACAGAGAAGGATGCCAGTAACTTGATAAAGCAGGTGCTGGCTGCAGTTGACTACATGCACACAAAGGGGGTTGTACATAGAGACTTGAAGGTAGGTACAACATACAGTGTCTGCGCAGTAATGTCTGTATCTATCTGCGCAATGGATGGATACTGAAAGTAGGTGTTGCTGCCACACTGTTGAGTATGAAAATTAGAAACCAGCATTCTTGTGTATGAACGAAGACAAGAAATGAGCAAAATATGCTCTCTTCCGTTCCAAGAGCCATCATGATCAGATCTTGTAGCATCAACATGTGAATTTTTTTCATGCGTTTGATGAGATAAACATTTTATCGGGCAACATTGTATGAATGTTAAGTGGAAAGTAATACCGTATATAACCGTCTATAAGCCGAATTTTGAGGACCCCAAAAATATGTCTGTAGAAGGGGGTCGTCTTATCTATGAGATACAATTTCACGGAAATATTTTTTAGCTCGCCAGTGCCCTGCCAGGACGATGTTACAGGTTACCGGTACATCTGCCAGGATGTTTGCCACGATTACAGCATTTATGTTGTGAATGATGAATAAAATACATATTAACCTGTACGTTTTCATTATTTCAACTACAGTTTTTTCACTATAAATGTAAATTATATAATCAACACTAAGGTTATACGGACCCTCATGAACGTGGTAAGTTGTATGCATATGGAATGGGGTAAAATAAGCAAGCCATTTAAACTCACACATGTTTTGCTGATGATACTGTAAACTAGCAGTCCATGGAAAACAAGGCGGTAATAAGCAAACCAGTATGTTGACATGTTATCGTCTAACTACAATATGTATGATATTTAGCGAAACAAAATATATTATCCATTTTCTGTCAACTACACTTCATGTCGATGCGTGAGTAGACGCAATATGATTGTGAATTCTTTGAATAAAGTGGACCAAAGTTATAATTATTGGTAACCGCCAGTTGTCTGTGGTCTGTGCTTGCCGCGATTAGGACCCCATCACTGGGGGTCGGCTTATGCACGAAACATACCATTATGACACTGATTTTAAGGGTCAAGTTTGGGTTCGGCTTATCTATGGGGTCGGCTTATAGATGGTAATTTGGGTTTACCAGCTGAAACCAGTGTGAATATATTCATTACACATTATACAGAGCAGAAATATAGCTTTTCCCATTTGTATTTTCATGTCAGATGTAAGTGTTACATGGTTAGATTGAAGGATAGACGACAGATGATGAGCCACTGTGTTACTTTCAATCTGATTATTGTCCAATGTCCAATGTGATAACTTAGCCAATGGCTGGAATCAAGTGATCATACATGTGTGTAAATGTTGAGCTGAACCCTACTAGATGATGACTTGATTTAGTTTCCAGCCTCTGTTTAGACTGAGTAAGATGAAGGTAAATTTGACAATAGTTACAGCAGCACGTTTACACATGCACACACAAGAATATCATGGAAAGGTTGTGTTGCCATGCACCCTGTATGTCATCTCCTAATGACTACACTGCTCAACATTCCCCAAGACCATAAGTTTGGTCAAGAGAGTCACTGAACTGTCTCTAGGTGATGCACAGTTAGTTATGCTTATGATATTGTTTTTCAGCCAGAGAATTTGTTGTACTACAGCCATGATGAAGATTCGAAAATCATGATCAGTGACTTTGGGTTGTCAAAGGTGGAGGGTACCGGCATTATGGAGACAGCATGTGGCACACCAGGATATGTGGGTAAGTCATGGTGCTTTGGAAAACATCATGTGTAGCGAACGCCTGTAGACAAGTGGCACATGCAGCTCGAGGACAGGTGTACCATTCATCCTAATGAAGGAATCAGCACATATTGCTGGAGAATAGGTGTCCTCATCATCCCAATAAGGAAAGGTGGCACATATTGCTGGAGAATAGGTGTCCTCATCATCCCAATAAGGAAAGGTGGCATATATTGCTGGAGAATAGGTGTCCTCATCATCCCAATAAGGAAAGGTGGCACATATTGCTGGAGAATAGGTGTCCTCATCATCCCAATAAGGAAAGGTGGCATATATTGCTGGAGAATAGGTGTCCTCATCATCCCAATAAGGAAAGGTGGCACATATTGCTGGAGAATAGGTGTCCTCTTCAACCCAATAAGGAAAGGTGGCATATATTGCTGGAGAATAGGTGTCCTCTTCAACCCAATAAGGAAAGGTGGCATATATTGCTGGAGAATAGGTGTCCTCTTCATCCCAATAAGGAAAGGTGGCATATATTGCTGGAGAATAGGTGTCCTCTTCATCCCAATAAGGAAAGGTGGCATATATTGCTGGAGAATAGGTGTCCTCTTCATCCCAATAAGGAAAGGTGGCATATATTGCTGGAGAATAGGTGTCCTATTCATCCCAGTATAGAAACGTGGCATTTTTAGGCAGAGGGTAGGTGTCCTATTTCATCCCAGTATAGAAAGGTGGCACTTGTAGTGGGAGGGTAGGTATCCCATTCATCTAAGTAAACTTGACACACCTTCAATCTATGACTAAGTTGTTGCTGCCAAATATGCTGTGGTGAGTCATCAGGAACATTTGACCTTGGCCCTCTGCTTAACCAGTTAGGCCTGTATCTTGTGATCCGATATCATAAACCCAAAATATTCAGATGAGTTGAGCCATATTGCTATTTTTTTATCATTTCATCTTCATTTGGCCTGGGGTCCATAAAATCCTAAAAATCTTACTGTAAGAAAATGATGATTGCTTGATAACACAGACCTATCATTCAGTATGTATAGAACATTGGCCTTTCTCATTCTAATATGTAGATTTTGTTGTTTCATATCGGAATATGCCAAAAGTGACATATGAAACAACTGTGGACTAGCAGAGAGGTGCTCAGTAACATTTGTGGAACCTTTCTGTTAGAGTTAGACACAAACGTGTCAGCTACATATACGTTGCACATGTTTGTAGGAATGTTTAGTTATTGTATTGTATTGTGTACAGATTATGATAAAGTATTGAAGTAATCAGAGCCACACTCTGTGGCCTACTGCCCTTTGTCCTTGTTTTGTCCTGTCCCCAGCAGGTTGTTGCTCAGCCTGTTGGTAGCCACTCCCTGGAGACCAGGGTCAGACTAGGCCCCCTACAGTATATGCTGGTCATAGTGACAGATTGGACTACCTGACTCTGGTTCAATGGAGGTCAGCACACCTGGGGTGGGGCAGTCCTTAGAATTCATCACTGATTTGTCTGGTCCAGACTGCCAGTATGAACCACTGTCTGTGTGTAGGGTGATTGTTGACTGCCAGTATGAACCATTGTCTGTGTGTAAGGTGATTGTTGACTGCCAGTATGACCTCTGTCTGTGTGTAAGGTGATTGTTGACTGCCAGTATGAACCGCTGTCTGTGTTTAAAGTGATTGTTGACTGCCAGTATGAACCACTCTGTGTATAAAGTGATTGTTGACTGCCTGTATGAACCACTCTGTGTATAAGGTGATTGTTGACTGCCAGTATGAACCACTATCTGTGTGTAAGGTGATTGTTGACTGCCTGTATGAACCACTATCTGTGTGTAAGGTGATTGTTGACTGCCTGTATGAACCTCTGTCTGTGTGTAAGGTGATTGTTGACTGCCAGTATGAACCTCTGTCTGTGTGTAAGGTGATTGTTGACTACCAGTATGAACCACTATCTGTGTAAGGTGATTGTTGACTGCCTGTATGAACCATTGTCTGTGTGTAAGGTGATTGTTGACTGCCAGTATGAACCACTATCTGTGTGTAAGGTGATTGTTGACTGCCTGTATGAACCATTGTCTGTGTGTAAGGTGATTGTTGACTGCCAGTATGTATGAACTGCCAGTATGAACCACTGTCTGTGTGTAAGGTGATTGTTGACTGCCAGTATGAACCACTATCTGTGTGTAAGGTGATTGTTGACTGCCAGTATGAACCACTATCTGTGTGTAAGGTGATTGTTGACTGCCTGTATGAACCACTCTGTGTATAAGGTGATTGTTGACTGCCAGTATGGACCACTATCTGTGTGTAAGGTGATTGTTGACTGCCAGTATGAACCACTATCTGTGTAAGGTGATTGTTGACTGCCAGTATGAACCTCTGTCTGTGTGTAAGGTGATTGTTGACTGCCTGTATGAACCATTGTCTGTGTGTAAGGTGATTGTTGACTACCAGTATGAACCACTATCTGTGTAAGGTGATTGTTGACTGCCAGTATGAACCTCTGTCTGTGTGTAAGGTGATTGTTGACTGCCAGTATGAACCTCTGTCTGTGTGTAAGGTGATTGTTGACTGCCAGTATGAACCTCTGTCTGTGTGTAAGGTGATTGTTGACTGCCTGTATGAACCATTGTCTGTGTGTAAGGTGATTGTTGACTGCCAGTATGAACCTCTGTCTGTGTGTAAGGTGATTGTTGACTGCCAGTATGAACCTCTGTCTGTGTGTAAGGTGATTGTTGACTGCCAGTATGAACCACTATCTGTGTGTAAGGTGATTGTTGACTGCCAGTATGAACCACTATCTGTGTGTAAGGTGATTGTTGACTGCCTGTATGAACCACTCTGTGTGTAAGGTGATTGTTGACTGCCAGTATGAACCACTATCTGTGTGGTGATTGTGATTGTTGACTGCCAGTATGAACCACTATCTGTGTGTAAGGTGATTGTTGACTGCCAGTATGAACCACTATCTGTGTGTAAGGTGATTGTTGACTGCCAGTATGACCTCTGTCTGTGTGTAAGGTGATTGTTGACTGCCAGTATGAACCATTGTCTGTGTGTAAGGTGATTGTTGACTACCTGTATGAACCACTATCTGTGTGTAAGGTGATTGTTGACTGCCTGTATGAACCACTGTCTGTGTAAGGTGATTGTTGACTGCCAGTATGAACCACTGTATGTGTGTAAGGTGATTGTTGACTGCCAGTATGAACCATTGTCTGTGTCCCAGGTGGTGGCTGTGCATGCAGCCAGCCAGTATGAACCACTCTGTGTATAAGGTGATTGTTGACTACCAGTATGGACCACTATCTGTGTGTAAGGTGATTGTTGACTGCCAGTCTGAACCTCTGTCTGTGTGTAAGGTGATTGTTGACTGCCAGTCTGAACCTCTGTCTGTGTGTAAGGTGATTGTTGACTGCCAGTCTGAACCTCTGTCTGTGTGTAAGGTGATTGTTGACTGCCAGTCTGAACCTCTGTCTGTGTGTAAGGTGATTGTTGACTGCCAGTATGAACCTCTGTCTGTGTTTAAGGTGATTGTTGACTGACTGTATGAACCACTGTCTGTGTCCCAGGTGGTGGCTGTGCATGCAGCCAGCCAGTATGAACCACTGTCTGTCTGTAATTTGATTGCTGACTGACTGTATGAACCAGTGTCTCCACCATGGTGGTGGATGTGCATGGAGGCTGCCTGTATGAACCACTGTCTGTGTCCCAGGTACTGGTTGTTTATTCAGATTGCCTATATGAACTAGTGTTGCGGTTGTGCATTCCTGTAATGAACCCACGGTGCTCGGCTTTGTTCCCAACACACCCTGCATGGGGTGTGATACTGCATTGATTTTTACTTGTGTGTTTATCTCCTGATGTTCTTTGTTTGCAGCCCCTGAAGTGCTGGCCCAGCAGCCGTATGGGAAGGAGGTGGACTGCTGGTCTATAGGTGTCATAGCCTACATACTGTACGTCACGTAAATCTCTCTACCTCACATACCATAGTGTAGTATGCCACAAGTTTGCTGTTCTGAAATTTAACATTAAAATTGTATTTCTTTGATAACAAGTGTCACATGTCTAGCGTGACGGTTTCAACAATTTCAGATTTCTTATATATATGTAAATTTTGTGTTGTCAGTTATGCTTATTCATCATGATGATGACATTTGACAAGTTGACAGACATTAACTGATGTCATTGACAGCATGAGGATGTTAATGTATCAGTTTACATTTTATATGTGGTCAATATCTGTTTGTGTGAATCTGAAAAAAATCAATAGAGACCTAGTACTTCCTTTTAAAGATATGCAGAAAGATAATATTTTCATCCTCAGACCTTTACCGCCTCCGTGGTGTAGTGGTTAGAGCGTCCGCCCGGAGAGCGGAAGGTCGCGGGTTCGATCCCCGACCGCGTCATACCAAAAGAAGTTAAAATATGGTACTTGTTGGTCCCTGCCTGGCGTTCGCCATTAATGGATACAACAAGGACTGGTCGGCTTGGAGTCAGTGTAATGTGTCTGAGTGGAGTATTCATGCTTCACTGCAGCATGGTATCTCAGTGGGCTAGCACTATAAAACCAGCTTCAGTCTGGGCTAGTACAAGCAGCCGCACATACACATACACACGCATACACGTCGTCATATGAGCGAAATATTCTCAAGCACGACGTAAAACCTAATTTCACCTCACCTCACCTCCTCAGACCTTGTCCTCGATCAATATTGATTGTTTTTCAATATAGATGTTTTTCATGTCCATAATGAGTTCTATTGATCTCATATAAAGTCTATAATTACCTCCACCATGAAGTGGGAAATATAGGATGTTGTCCATCGCTTGTGTTGTTTATCCATCACGCTTTGTTTCCATAGGTTTGGAACCTCTTAATATTTTACTATAAAACTTTGGATATATCAAACAATGCTTAATTGTTCCCTTTTGAAGTTTGGGTATTTCTTACATCAATATTTGTGTTTCCATGGCAACAAACATGAACTTACACTAAAATTGTGTGGTACCTGTGTTACACCTGTGTTATGTAGGTTGGTACCTGTGTTACACCTGTATTACATAGGTTGGTACCTGTGTATACCTGTATGACGGATGTTGTTACCTGTGTTATGTCTGTGTACAGTTGGTGGTTACCTGGTTTAAGCATGTGTAGTTGGATGTTACCTGTGTTACACCTGTGTGAAGTAGTTTGTTACCTGTGTTACACCTGTGTGTAGTTGTTTGTTACCTGTGTTATGTCTGTGTGTAGGTGATTGTTACCTGTGCTACACCTGTTAGTTGTTACCTCTTTATACCTGTGTGAAGTAGGTTGTTACCTTTGTTACACCTGTGTGATGTAGGTTGTTATGTGTGTTATGTCTGTGTGTAGTTGGTTTCACCTGTGTTACACCTGTGAGATGTACCTGTGTTATGTCTGTGTGACATTAGTAGTTACCTGTTTACACCTGTTACACCCGTGTGATGTAGGTTGTTACCTGTGTTATGTCTGTGTGACATTAGTTGTTACCTGTTTACACCTGTGTTGCACCTGTATGGTGGAGGTTGTTACCTGTGTTATGTCTGTTTGACCATAGTTGTTATCTGTGTTACACCTGCATGATGTAGGTTGTTACCTGTGTGTTACACCTGTATGGCGGAGGTTGTTACCTGTGTTATGTCTATGTGCAGGCTCTGTGGCTACCCCCCATTCTATGATGAGAGTGATGCAGAGTTGTTCAAGCAGATCCTGAAGGCAGAGTACGAGTTTGACTCTCCGTACTGGGATGAGATATCTGAATCTGGTATGTAATTTTCTCAAACCTGTTGAGTAGACCACCTAGTGTTCATTCCTCAGAGGACTGTTTTTATCCCTTCACATTCAGTATTTCCAAAACCCACGTCTACTGTTCTATTGTGATAAGTTACTCAGATCTCCTATGATATCCAAATGTACAGAATATTTTTCACTGGTTCTTCAAAGTTCCATGCAGAGATTTAACTGATTTAAGTCACACACAGTCCAAACTATATGGCTTGAGAATTTCTAGATATTGGAATTTTGATTCCTGTAAGAATGATCTCCCCTTGAGTTGAACTGTTGTATTATACTGAAGGATTTGATCCCCATCTCGTTGCAGCCAAGAACTTCATTCGACACCTAATGTGTAAGGATGTCAAACAACGATTCACATGTAAGCAGGCAATGGATGATCCATGGTAAGCAGCTGCAGGCAATGCTGCCACTTGTTATAGTTCAGGATGGAAGTTGGGAAGTTGGACACAAGTAGTTGTAGGGATAACATGTATTTATCATTGTTGTGATTGTTATACAGATGATTAAAACTGCTTGCACTGAAATGTCATGGGTGTGTTCAGAAATGGTCATAACAAGGAGTCAGTTAAAACAGTTCTAGCAACACATTTCCTGGATAGCTTGATCAGTGATGTTATTAGACTATGTTGAATGTACTGTTATTTGATGAGAGGGATGTGATTCATGACAGGATTTCTGGTAATGCTGCCTTGGACAAGGACATCCACGCTTCTGTCAGCGCTCAGATCAAGAAGAACTTCGCTAAGACAAGATGGAGGGTCAGTATACAGATACACTGTAGTAAATTCTTCATAAGTCACACTCATCTCCATTATGACAAGTCACAGCTTGTTTACAGCCCTTTCTATGTGAGCAACAAGACTGTATTCATCTTTGTTGTCACTGATACCTGTGAACATCTTGGTGAGAGTTGGTCGTCACCAACCCATGTTTGTTTCAAGAGGTGATTGGATGGTCAGATTTGCTGACTTAGTTGACACATGTCACTGTATCCCAATTGTGTAGATTGATGCTCATGCTGTTGATCACTGGGTAGTCTTGACCAGACTTGACTATTTACAGACTGCAGCCATTATAGCTGGGATATTGCTGAGTGAGTTGTTAAAAACAAAGAGACAAACAAACCCTGCTGGATTGTTTAAGGATTGCCATCATATAGCTGGAACATTGCTGAGTGTGGCGCTAAACAACAAACAAACATTAGTGATGTTGGATCTTCCACATACAAGTGATGGTGTGGTGTGTGTTCCAGCAAGCCTACAATGCTGCAGCAGTCATACGGCAGATGAAGAAGCTGGCTATGAGCAAGGATGACAGCAATCACTGAATAAAGGGAGACCACTCTGCCAGGCAAACTCATGGAACTAGCATCTCTGGGGCTGGAGGCTGGAGGATGTCGACACAGGGTTTCTGTTGTGGTTTGGAATGTGGGGCGCCAACTTGCAGATGGACAGACACAGGTGGTACCAAGGACAAACATGCAAGTTGTCATGACGATCAGACAATCATGTGTCAGACACACATGGGCGGTTTGCACTGTCGCACATATTTGGCCCTGATCACATAGCCTCTGTCAGTATGATGTGTCGTAGCTCTGTTAGTGTCACTAAACCTTCACTAGTCTTGTAGATAACCTATATTCCTAGCTAAGATGCATAATTCTGCATAATATTCATGTACAGAACTTGACAAAGATGCTTCATTGCAAATAGTTCAATCTTTTTAGAAACAAAATAAATAAGATTGCTCAATTAGTACATATTTTTATTAGAATGATACTGATAATCATTTTTCATCATGGTCAATCATTACTATGTACTTAAAACCTCCATGACATATTCTGTCCAGCGTGCAGAAATCATTGGACAGTAGTAAATACTGCTACATGTAATTGACAGTAATATTGTAGAGATTTTCATAATATTTTAGATACATCTTCAAATAGTTTTCATAGACTAACTGTTTGTGTAGATCTATTGTGAATATATGCACAGAAATCACACAAGTTTACTTTTTTATTCACTTGGATAAATTGACTGTTGTAACTTGTTTCAAGGAAGATACATTCTCAAGAATTTCGACGTAACACAAGGAGAATTGTTTGAATTTTCTGTTCTTGAAATTACGTTACCTTGTTAATTGTGAAATTGTTTCCTGGAATTTGTTTAGGGTGTGGCATTTTATTAGTGTTCAAAGATCTTAACAGATTTCTGAATGTTTTCACGTAAATGATTTGTTGTTTTTCCTTTTATTCATTGAGATGTTTTTCCCATATCTACAGAGGAAAGTAGGCAGATATTTTCAATATTTCACTCATGTGTTCAGTGTAGTGGCTTCCATATTGTCAAAGTAAGGTGTTTTATTTCATGATGTTTATAATGCCATATCTTCTTTTCACATATTTCTTACCATTTGTGCATAATTTTAAAGTGACATAATACCCCTATCCTGGTCATTCCAAGTACTGGACCCTATAATCAAATTCAAGAAATATTTCACTTTTGTAGATTATATTGAATCTCCTCTGCCAAATATTAGACAGCTGAAATATATAATCAAACGTATGGTTTGTATTTATGTACTTTTTGATACTGTTTTATGAATTACATATATATATATATATGTATATATATATATATATATATATTGACATTATGTCTTGATCAGATATTATGAATTATTTTGAAATTGTACTGTTTAGAAGTTTTATTAATGTTTGTTTATATGTCCAAATTTGAATCAAATGTGAATCAGTATTTGTTCCAAGCACGCAAGTCAACTATACAGTAGTACTGCTTCTCAATTACACCTCAGTCATGATAACCCTTATTGCAGCATACTGAGCTTTACTGGGGGTGAAAAGAGGGGGACGGTGGGGCAGTGAAGTGGGGAGTCAGATAGTCCTAGGTGTTTGTACAGATGTGGAGTTGGGCTGGAAGAAATGGGTAGTTGAGGGCTAATGGTTATACAAGGTGGGGAAGGGGTGGGTAGAAATGGGTAGTTGAGGAGGGCTAAGGGTTATACAAGGGTGGGGAAGGGTTAGGTAGAAATGGGTAGTTGAGGAGGGCTAAGGGTTATACAAGGGTGGGGAAGGGTTAGGTAGAAATGGGTAGTTGAGGAGGGCTAAGGGTTATACAAAGGGTGGGGAAGGGGTGGGTAGAAATGGGTAGTTGAGGAGGGCTAAGGGTTATACAAGGTGGGGAAGGGGTGGGTAGAAATGGGTAGTTGAGGAGGGCTAAGGGTTATGCAAGGGTGGGGAAGGGGTTGGTAGAAATGGGTAGTTGAGGAGGGCTAAGGGTTATACAAGGTGGGGAAGGGGTGGGTAGAAATGGGTAGTTGAGGAGGGCTAAGGGTTATACAAGGGGTGGGGAAGGGGTGGGTAGAAATGGGTAGTTGAGGAGGGCTAAGGGTTATACAAGGTGGGGAAGGGGTGGGTAGAAATGGGTAGTTGAGGAGGGCTAAGGGTTATACAAGGGTGGGGAAGGGGTTGGTAGAAATGGGTAGTTGAGGAGGGCTAAGGGTTATACAAGGTGGGGAAGGGGTGGGTAGAAATGGGTAGTTGAGGAGGGCTAAGGGTTATACAAGGGTGGGGAAGGGGTGGGTAGAAATGGGTAGTTGAGGAGGGCTAAGGGTTATGCAAGGGTGGGGAAGGGGTGGGTAGAGATGGGTAGACGAGGAAGGCTAGGATGTTGCACAAGGATGGGATAGGGGTGGGTAGAAATGGTTGGACAAGAAGGCTAGCTGGTTGTACAAGGGGTGGGTAGGGGTGGGTAGAAATGGTTGGACAGGAAGGCTAGTTGGTTGTACAAGGGTGGGGTAGGGTGGGTAGAAATGGGTGAACAAGAAGGCTAGGTGGTTGTACAAGGGTGGGGTAGGGTGGGTAGAAATGAGTGGACAGGAAGGCTAGTTGGTTGTACAAGGGTGGGGTAGGGTGGGTAGAAATGGGTGAACAAGAAGGCTAGGTGGTTGTACAAGGGTGGGGTAGGGTGGGTAGAAATGAGTGGACAGGAAGGCTAGGTGGTTGTACAAGGGTGGGGTAGGGTGGGTAGAAATGGGTGAACAAGAAGGCTAGGTGGTTGTACAAGGGTGGGGTAGGGTGGGTAGAAATGAGTGGACAGGAAGGCTAGTTGGTTGTACAAGGGTGGGGTAGGGTGGGTAGAAATGAGTGGACAGGAAGGCTAGTTGGTTGTACAAGGGTGGGGTAGGGTGGGTAGAAATGAGTGGACAGGAAGGCTAGTTGGTTGTACAAGGGTGGGGTAGGGTGGGTGGACAAGTAAGGCAAGGGGGTTTTGGAAGTAGAGGTACAATGGTAGGCCTGAGGCTTATACAGTAGAGGGGATGACCAAGCTTTAGGGTGATGGATTATGGTAAGCTGTCTTAGGGGTAATGAATTACAAGTGTCCTTCTGTCCTTGCCTTTGAATTATGTCACTTTAAATATGTTTGTATTACCAATATAAAGTGTGAGCATTCCTTCCATAAGAATTTGCCTGTAGAGGCACATAGCTACTTTTATTCCTCCTTGTCTCTAAAAGAAACTTTACATCTGCAAGTGTTCAGCCATTGATATATCTGACTACGTGACAGTCACAGCATAATGGGTACAAGTGTGTACTATTGCATTATTTGGTATGAGCTAGCATAATATGCATGGTATTATGCCTTATATCCATGAACCGTTTCCATAGAAATGGTCTTGTTAGTTAGTTCTGGATGGTATAAGAATTTGAGAAAAGTGCAACAAAAGCCTTGTTTCCATTATTTTGTATGGAACTTCTCTCAATGAAGCCACTAGATGAAAGTAAACTCCAATGTTGAAATATGGTTAGAATTCCTGGAGCCGAGTTGTGGTCTGGACTTGGCTCAGGTCCTTCTTCTTCACTTCTTTGAGTGGCATTTTAGAAGTTGGGAAGTACAATATAGAACAAACTTTATGGATAACAACTTCTTTTTATTGTTAAAAAGAACTTGTTATCCATAAAGTTTGTTCTATATTGTCCTTCTTCTTCAGTTTGTTTTTGTGTATAAGTCAACCCTGTGTTCCAGCCTAGCTAGTGTTCCAGCCTTTCGGTGAGTTTTACTGTGTTTGGTGCATATTGCACTCATTTACCTTGTCTTATATTGGACCTCCCATGCATTCAGATGTTTCATTTCTTGTATATTTCGACATGTACATTAGACTGTTAGCTGTTACTTATGCACTGTAGTGTACCACTGGGTGAGCTGGGGGCAATGTGATGTGAGGTTGGTGAGGAGTGTATTATGTAGAGATGGTGGATGGAGTTTCCAGGAAACATAGATAGATGTTTGTGTAGTTTCACTAAGTAGATATCCCTCTTCCATGGTTAGTATCGATATTAAAACATTTCACTGAAGTATCAATATATTACCTATCAACTCTGTTGTTATGTATGTTGGTCTAAAGGCCTGTCTCTATGGGTATTCAGAGTCATCAGAGGTTACAGTAGTTGGAAAAGTAGAAAATGGTCAGCTTGAGTAAAACCAGAGTGACAGTCATTACTTTGAATATAGTCTTGAAGCTTTTAAAAACTAAAAAAAAATACAAATAAAATAAAATACATTTAAAAACAATAAGTTGGCCATTCCTTTGTTTCCCTTGAACACTGCCTGATTATTGTAATCAACATATTAGATTCAACATTGGTCCAACTACATGTCACACTGAATACAGTTTATGTAAAACTCTAAATCCTATCTCAAGCCATTATTGTTAGGACATTGTTTCAGAAAGAATAAAAAACAGTGGTATGAATCGAACTTTTTATGCCAAAATATTTTGAGATCAGAATGCCTTGTGTAAAGAAACCTTTCTTCAGTAAATTTTCATTTTCCATAAACTAGTTTGGATGATATGATGACACTAAGAAGAACAATACTCACTGGAAGTGTGTCTGTATAAGTTTTCTTATGAAAGACAATTGTTAAACTAAACCTGTTGAACTGTTACCTTGTTGGGATATTCAGTGATGAAGTTTGAAAGCATTTAAAAAGCCAAAGTGATGATTGATATCTACGTTGAATTGAAACTTGATAGATGAAAGGTTACTGTTATGTTTCTCTTGTTATACATATATAATCGGCTCACTACTGTATTGTTATTGCTTGTAAAGACATTCCATTGGGAAAATGACATGCTTTGTTAGGTCTGCCACGTTAAACATTGAATTGGAACATGTTCTGGGGAATTCTTTCTATAATTTTGGACTATTCATGAATTATGTTATTAAAAAAGGTATAGCGTAGGACTGCTGCATATATGTTGTTTTACTTTTACGTTTTTATGATTGACTAATTATCAAAAGACATGTTATGTAAATACATATCAATTTATTTGGGTATTTTTAGGACAGTGTTATGTTAGTAACTGACTTTTGTGCCTGTTACTTAGTTATCTAAACTATTTTGTCATCATTTGATGATTTGATAATCAAAAGGTACGGTTCCAGGAAGGGATTATGTTGGCTTCTACTTGGTTTTCCACATAAACAGTGACAAGGTTTGAGGTTAGGCCATGGACTACAAAGCACCTGTTTGTGGCCCAGGTTTGGAGTCAGGCCATGGAGTACAAAGCACCTGTTTGTGGCCCAGGTTTGTTGTCCGGCCATGGAGTACAAAGCACCTGTTTGTGGCCCAGGTTTGGGGTCAGGCCATGGAGTACAAAGCACCTGTTTGTGGCCCAGGTTTGGGGTCAGGCCATGGACTACAAAGCACCTGTTTGTGGCCCAGGTTGGAGGTCAGGCCATTGAGTACAAAGCACCTGTTTGTGGCCCTGGTTTGGGGTCAGGCCATGGAGTACAAAGCACCTGTTTGTGGCCCAGGTTTGTTGTCCGGCCATGGAGTACAAAGCACCTGTTTGTGGCCCAGGTTTGTTGTCCGGCCATGGAGTACAAAGCACCTGTTTGTGGCCCAGGTTTGGGGTCAGGCCATGGAGTACAAAGCACCTGTTTGTGGCCCAGGTTTTGGGTTAGGCCATGGAGTACAAAGCACCTGTTTGTGGCCCAGGTTTGGGGTCAGGCCATGGAGTACAAATCACCTGTTTGTGGCCCAGGTCTTGGGTTAGGCCATGGAGTACAAAGCACCTGTTTGTGTCCCAGGTTTGGGGTCAGGCCATGGAGTACAAATCACCTGTTTGTGGCCCAGGTTTTGGGTTAGGCCATGGAGTACAAAACACCTGTTTGTGGCCCAGGTTTGGGGTTAGGCCATGGAATACAAAACACCTGTTTGTGGCCCAGGCTTTATGTCAGGTGACTGAGTGCAAAGCACTTGTAGGTAGGTTAGGCAGCTTATCATCAACAAATGGTCACACACTTACTGGTATTACTGGGACATTTCAACCTGTACTTAAACATTGATTTATAATGCTTACATTTACTAGGCTGAATAAACAGCCAATTACAAATGGTCACATGACCATGTCTTTCATTGCCCTGAGGAAATGAAAATTATATCCACAGACATCCATGATATGTTTCATGTGAGTTGATGTTCGTGCAGGTATCAGAGGAGAGTTCATCACGAGCATGTAACATTGTTTATGTACACCCAGTCTGAATATGTCTACATTTATTTCTATATTTATGTATGTACACATTGTACAGTTGTGGTAGAAGCTGAGAGAGTGGGCAACGTTATTCCTGTGGATGTTTTATTGTTTGTTTTATTCGACTAGTTTTTTGATGTTTTTGCAAGATTTCTATATTATACGCAATGCCTTGTGACTTTTCATTCTGTTAACACTTTACCAGGCCGTAGGATGTGAGATTTAGAAAAATAATGCATTTGATACTTTGTTTTATTATTCTCAGCACAATGGAATTAATTTCAGATTGTGTATAATTTCTTTACTAACACTTCGTAACAATTTGAGGCAGTAGAATTCAAACAGCGGAATATATTATGGCTTTGATTTTAGTTCTAAAATGGTAACATTTCTGACATTGTTGATGATTTTGTAGTGATCTCCTGAATGCTTGAGTCATATCATGTGAAATGTTCACTATTCAGGCAAAGCTTCTGTTAGTCACAGTCAGTCTAAAGTCTCCTATTATGGGGTATCACGACCTAGGAACGTTTCTTTAGACACGGTAAGCACCAGTGGTATCAATGCTGCCCTCACTGAGTGGATTGATAAAGCAGTGGTGATTGCTAGGTCTTTGTGTAGAGATGAGTTGGAAAGCATATGTCTGATAAAGGAAACATGTAAAATCTTGAAGTGCACCTTGAACAACACTTGGTCGTAACATGGAACAAACACCCACATTCAGCAGTATTGATGTTTTCTAAAAGCATGTTTTGTAGGTTGCACATACAAACATATTACTCACTGAATAGGAAACATTATTTCAGAAAGCCCCCCGGAAGTTTTAGATATGGTGATTGATTTTAGCCGAGTTTCTGCAGATATATGAGAATGTTTGAAATCTTACCACCTCTATGATATGTACTGGTGCTTGTAGTGTTGTATGGCAAATGAAATGGTTTCAACTTCTGGATATGCTTCCATGTTTGATATAATGTATTATGTTCTTGAAATGTATGTATACTGTTTTATGGCACTATTATGCACATGTTACAATAAGATTAACACTAACTAAATAAATATATACAATTGGTACCAAGACTTTTGTTAGAGGATTAATTTTGTATTAGTAATCAAGAAAAAAATATTCATGCTTGTTAGATTTTGGCGTTGCGAAATGTAAAGGAAGCCTTTATGGTGAAGTATTGATTTCAGTGACAGACAAACCTTAGTTCTGAAGGGAACCACTTGTTCCCCTGCCCAAAGACTGTTCTCGTATCAAGTGTAAGTAACAGGTGGAACTCCTTCATGTATCTGTGATCTGGGAGCTGTCCCTTCAGCATGTGGCATCACATGCTGCCATCATCATGCCAACCACAAGTCCAATAAAACATGATATACCTCTTTACGATGCCCTATGGGTTTTTGGGTCTGTGATGCCACATGTTGATTGAGCAGGTCATTGAGATGCATGGTTCCAAGTTATTTTGGTCAGGAAGTTGCTACCAAGGCACCTTGAGACATGGGGGATCACCTAGCTCGTTATTGCACAGGAACACTGGCTTTTGTCATTACATTATCATCACTTTATCACTGCATTCATCGACATCATCAAAGATGATGGTCGGTGCTATTTTCACAAATAAAGAGGTATAAATTCATATGCTGTTTGTTTGACTTGATGATGACCAGGCATCGTCTTTCAACTGAATTACCATGATGTCCTTGTTTCCAGTGCTGAATAAAGTACTGACTCGAATGAACCACAGATATCCATGCCTCTTACCAAGATGGATCTACTCAATTTAAATTGCAACTCTAACAAAACCATACTACTATTAAAGGTTGGATCTCCAACATCCCATGCTACTATCAAATTGGAGTCATCACTCCAATCTATACAGGATTGACTACAATCACAAAAACTATCAAAACATATTGATGCCATTCAACATCAGATTGCCAACATAATCATTCTACAATACATTATCAAATTGTGATCTATTCGACATATAGATCTGCATTAGACATCCAACAATCTCTCTTTAAAAAGTTGGATCTTCAATAATCTGTTAACCCTAACCAACGAAAAATCATCCTCAACATCCATTAACCCAGTTCATCAAAGGATCAACTACATCCATTAGCTCAACTCAATAAAGGGTATCCACCATACATTAACCCAACACAACAAAAGATCTTCAACATCCATTAAACCAACAAAGGATCGCTAACAACGTTACACATAATAATAATAATACTGAAAATTTAAATACCACTACGTGGGTGCTCAAAGCGCTACAAAATAATGTTTGAGTAGAGTTAATAGTGCAGTGAAAAGAGATGCGTTATAAGATGTGATTTAAACCAGGGAGACTATATAAGGTTGTAGAGTATCCCTGTTTAAACGTAGCAAAAGATGGGGACAGTTTTAAGGCGAGGGACAGTTCATTCCACAACGACGGAGCACTAACACTGAAAGAACGCTTTCCAGAATCACAGGATTTCCTAACAATCTTTCACCCGACTCCATGAAGGATCGCCAACATCATTTAACCAACTCAACATAGGATCGACACATCCATTAATCCAACTCAACAAAGGATCTACAACAACGTTAAACCTCTTTCACCCGACTGACGAAGGATCGCCAACATCTGTTAACCCAGGGAGACTATATAACGTGTTGTAGATTATCCCTGGTTAACCCTAATCAACAATCTCCAAACTACTGAAGTGAAGGCCGAGGCTCGTTTGTTTACAAACAAAGTGATGGAGTTGACGTTCTTTCATGGAATATAGAGGGTCTACGTAAACATGACCAATGTGGATCTCCTCTGAAGAACTACTGCAATAAGTTCGACGTAATCGGATTCTGTGAATCGTTTGTACGATCAGCAAGTGAGTTCACTGATTTTTTGCCAGGCTATAGTGTTTTCAACAGTGTACGTCAGAAAGTCAGACGACTTGGCCGGTATAGCGGTGTTGTAACTGTCTTCCTAAAGTCATGCCTAATTGAAGATGGATATTGTAAGCGTCTTTATGAACATTTTAAGGACTGTATAGTGATTCTACTACATACGTCACGGTTAGAATGGGATCGAGACACTATTTTAATCTTCAAGTATATAACACCAGAAAACTCTCCTATATATAATAATGATGATATAGATGGTATACTAGTATCTGTATTGGAAGACTACATATCAACTATACGATGTGATTATCCTGTAGACCATATACTTCTGTGTGAAGACTTCAATGCCAGGATGAAGGATTTTCTCGACTACATCCCTGATGACAATTTGCATTTATGATTCAGCAGACTATCCCAGGGACGACTTTGATACTCCCCGAACAAGCAAAGACTTTCATTTTCACAATAATTATGGCATTAAATTGTACGAACTTTGTCGAACATTTGGAATCCATACCTTAAACGGCCGACTCCATAATGATAAATCTGGTGAGTTTACTTGTATCACTCACAATGGCTCCAGTGTTGTGGACTATATGATTGGAAGCTCATCATTATTCCACAAGAATAGAAATTTTGGGATAGGTACTCTGGACCTCTCTTGTCATTCCCCCCTCTACTGCACTCTTGATATTTCATGTGCTCTGTCTAACTCTGAATGTACCACAACTTCTAATACAGATGCTAGTCAGCAGGCCACTACTGAGGAGGATTCATGGGTTAGATATGTGTAGTCTAAGGGCAGTAATAGTCAGTTTGCAACACAGTTTCACAACACATTTTTAGATATGTCTGTTACACTAACTGACATTGTGTATACCAATATTGATGAAGCAGTTAATCTCTTAGTTAGTGTGATACAACAAACTGCCTCCCATACTAGAAGCTTTGATAAGCACAGGGACAGATCACAGTTTCACAACAAATTTTTAGATATGTCTGTTACACTAACTGACCTTGTGTATACCAATATTGATGAAGCATTTAATCTCTTAGTTAGTGTGATACAACAAACTGCCTCCCATACTAGAAGCTTTGATACGCACAGGGACAGATCACAGCCCCCCTGGTGGGATGCAGAGCTGGAACAACTAAAACACGATAAATATTCTGCATTACGTGCACACAGAGACAATAATCAGGATTTGGATATATTTCGACAACTACAAAAACTATTTAAAAAGACATTCATATCCAAAAAGGAGAATTATCAGTGTAAGCAGAGACAGAAACTAGTGGATTCCAGGAGTGACTCAAGCCAATTTTGGAAATTATTGAAACAATATAGAATGTGTGACAGTCTTCCCTCATCTATCTCATGTAATCAGTGGTTTGATCACTTTGTATCATTACTTTTTTTGTTGACCAGCCTGATGTTTTACCTATTGTTTCACCACATGTTGTAAATGCTACTGATGTGTCAACACTTAATGCTGCTAAGGAAGTTTTGTTTCACATTTTACATTCTCCTAACAATAAGTCCCCTGGACCTGATGGTATATCAAATGAGTTTCTTAAAGCATCAAGTGCCTCCATTGTACCTTTTCTTACAGTACTGTTTAATCAGATATTTGATAGTGGTAATTTTCCATGTGGTTGGGGCAAGAGTATTATATGCCCTCTGTTCAAATCTGGCTGTAAAAGTAACCCAAATAATTATAGGGGTATATCTCTTATTGATTCTATTTGTAAAACATTTTCCTATATTTTGAATAAGCGTTTAAAATCATGGTGCGATGCACATGAAACTATCAATGAGTCCCAGGCAGGCTTCAGAGCAGGGTACTCCACAATTGATCACATTTTCTCTCTTCAGGCTTTAGCCCAAAAATATTCTGGTAAAAAGAGAGGTAGATTTTATTGCCTTTTTATTGATTTCTCAAAGGCTTTTGACACAATAAGACATGATGTTCTCTTGCAATCTTTAGCTGAAGTTGGTATTTCTGGTAAATTTTATAATATAATATCATCAATGTACAGCAGTTTATCTGCATGTGTTAGAACTTCAAAGGGTTTATCTAAGTGTTTTACATGTAATATTGGTACCCGTCAGGGTTGTGTGTTAAGCCCACAGCTGTTTATCATATTTATTAATAAGTTGTTTTCCCTAATGGAACAGGAAGGTGGTATAGGTGTTAATGTTTCATCTGCTTTTAACGATTTGTGTTCACTTATGTTTGCTGATGATGTTTCTGCACTTTCTGATACTTGTAATCAGTTACAAAAGAAGATAAATGCACTTGAATGTTTTTGTAAACAAAATTGGAATGTCAATTAATCTTAGTAAAACAAAAGTTCTTGTCTTTAGAAATGGTGGGCCATTACGGGAATATGAAAAGTGGTCCTATAATGGCAATCTTATTGAATATGTATCCTTTTATAAATATATAGGACTTGTATTTACACCAAAGCTTGTATGGAGTAAAGCGCAAAGCTGTCTGGTATCTCAAGCTAACAAGGCGATATTTTCTGTAAATGGTTTTCAAAAAAAGATGGGAAGAGTAAATTGTAAAGACTTATATAAGATTTTTGACTGTATGATTTCGCCTATTTTGTGTTATGGGTCTGAGATTTGGGGTACTAACTATTGTAGCATCATTGAGTCTGTTCAGGTAAAATTTTGTAAATATTTCTTGAAAGTTGGTAAATCTACATGTAATAACATGGCTCTTGGTGATTGTGGCAGACTTCCTCTACAAATTACTTATATGACTAAAGTAATTAAATACTTGGTGTCACCTATTGTATATGCCTTATGATAGACTGCCAAAACATTGTTATATTATGCTCAAGTCCTTAGATGATGTTGGCCGCACTACTTGGGCAACTTGTGTCAAAAATATTTTATTTAAGTAGGGTTTTGGCTATGCATGGATCAGTCAGGATGTTGGCAATGTTGATTATTTCATATCCTTGTTTAAGCAGAGACTTTCTGATAATCTTAAACAATGTTGGTCCACTTCAATTCAAAATTCTAATAAGTGTTTTTATTACTCCCAATTTAAGACATTTTTAAATGTGGAAAGGTATTTAAATTCTGATATTCCTTTACATCTCAGATCTGTACTCACTAAATTTAGATGTGGAAATTTTAATTTAGCTGTTGAAACTGGAAGATACAATAAAGTTAATTACAACGACAGACTATGTCTATTTTGTAAATTGGATGACAAAAATGTTATTGAAGATGAATTCCATGTACTCCTTAAGTGTGAACGTTTTTCTGATTTAAGGTTAAGATATATTCAGAAATATTTTACTGATTTTGATCCAAATGCCAATTTTATTAACATCATGAAAACACATAATGATTGTATCATAAGAGATGTCAGTATTTTTCTGTATCATGTACTTCAGCGCATTAGAAATGTTCCTCTTACACAGCATGTGCACTAAACTATCTATATCATATGCAAATGACTGTATGATGGGCCTGTGGCCTTTTACTGAATAAACTTGTCTGTCTGTCCTAATCAACATTTTATGCCTAACAATCCGGATCCAATACACTCGTATCAGGACAACTAAGGTGCCTCAAATAAACGGAGGATCCATCGATCCCGAGAACGTACACATTCTCCAACAAGTCGTTGCCGCTGTTGCCGCTACTGTACCTGGCGAAATGATCGTTTCATCTACCAACGTGATTGTGAACGTACATACCACGAGCATACCAGTCAGCATACCAGCCGATCACGTTTTGTCTTACAAGCACATATCTTTGAAGACCATTTATTCATGAAGAATGATGATAATCTTATGGATATACAACTTCTTTATTCTGTGAAAGGCAACGTTTCGACATAGCACCTATGTCGAAACGTCGCCTTTCACAGAATATAGAAGTGGTATATCCGTAAAATTACCATCATTCTTCATCCCCTCAACTTCTAAAATGCCCATCAAATAGGTCATTTATTCATAGTTATTTTATTTATAGCATGTTCGGATTAATGAAGTTTACTTTACTGTTCCTAACATTGCATTATGTTCATATCGTTAGTAATATTTCAGAGCAAAATCTATACACACAACATATAAAGTGCAACGCGGTTTACAAGTTGAAGCATATGGATTGAATATGAAATGAGTGCGAACCTGTTAAATTGCACCATGTCTTCATTCTATAGTTTTAGCATTTCAAATCGCTTTGACTTCTTATGAAATGATTGTACATTCTTCCGTGTTCTCTCTACTGGCAAACCAATAAACGCCTGACGTCATTTCGTACCAAACCGCCCACAAAACATTCTCTTATGCAAGAGACTACTGCCAATTGTCACTTGTTTATGGGTGGTATGTATATCTTCATGATGTCTATTGAAATGCTGTAAGTGTAGATTATAATGGCCTTATAAGAAACTAACGTACTTCTTGCTACGTGGTTTGGAAGGTGATACACTCGCTGTTCCTCCAAATGGATATGGCAATATGGCCATGCACGCTCACTATCGGATGTGGTACAGAGTTGGTCTACTTTTCGTAGCCTGTTGGCTGAAAGCGACCTCGCGTACCAGCAGTGGAACCAGTTTAGTTCATATCGCTCTCAGGATCTTGTTCATCTTCTGGTGGCGTCAGGAAGACCACCTCAACCGAACCCTTCCATTGGTCCTTGACACGTGTGGGTAGTGGCTTGGCAGGGCCAGAAGCATCTTCCCCCCAAGCTGTCCGGTACATCTTCATACCCACTGGACGAGATCTGATTCCTCTTAACGATGCTGTTGTTGGAAACGCCATCACATACGCCTGGAGCAGGTACGTCCTTAACTGTTCCTTTCAAGCAGTCTTTCTTACCAGTCTTGTCATTGCGTGCTGGAATGTCAGTGTTGCGTGCTGGAATGTCAGTGTTGCGTGTTTCCATCACGGTATCTGCTATTTCTTCATAAGCCGTGGACGAGATCGCCCTTTTGCTGCCACCAATGTGGAGGACAATACCGTCTGGAGTAGAGGTGACTTCAGTTTCCGAGTCAGAGGATATTTTCTGATGAGAAATAAATTTAAGCAGTTAGTCAGACATATGAACAATATTAAATATATCTATTTTATGGTTAATGCGCACGGAATAGAAAAGTTACCTCCTGGAATTAGTGTGCCTGTGTGCATGAAATTCTTGTCCTACAGCAATCCGCATTAGAAAAAGGAATAGGTTCCAAGTATGGTTTTCATAGAACCGACCACGGGGGATCAGGATGGGTGACTTGGATAGATCACACGTTTTCAGTTACTAGTGGGTCTGGTCGAGACTCGATTATGTACAGCCCGTCGTGATATAGCTGGAATATTGCGGCGTAAAGCAACAGCACTCTTTATTATTCCTTACCGGTAGGTGACGCTTTTGGGAATCTTCCTTCACCACCGTTTGATCTCTCAAGGAGTTCACTTTTGTCGATCCCTGTATGGACCCACGAACTTCCTGTCGTCTGCTACTTATCTTGGATTTCCCACTCAGTGTGACGGTTGACCTTCGTCTCCCATTGAGTCCACTGAAGACCATCCTGCCTTTGGTCCGCCTAAACACACGAACACAGTGAACTAATCTACCCTACTTTCTGTACTGGCGTGAGTAGCGTCTGATGCTGCCAGTTGAACTTTTGAAGGAAGAAATATGTCGACATGAATAAAATGTTATCAAAGAAGTTGGCATTGTAAACTTATTTTACGTATTTGTTCATGTAGATTCCACATGTGATCGGGTTAGGGAAATGGAAGAAAAGGAACCTTATTCCAACGTCAAGGATTAACAGAGCTATGCGCATTGTAGTCGTGAGTGTATTCTCGGTGCAGGAGTCAATGCTTTGTTGCACACAGATCACGTGACGAGTCTGTATTTGAAGGCGAAGCACGGTGTACTGAGTCAACTTTCAACAGGTCTTCAACTTTGGTTTAATGTTGCAACCACATGTTTACAATATCAATTCAGTGAAAACAAAGTGTACCACTGGACCTTAGTGTATCTTTTGCATGGAAAATGGAAGCTGTTCTCACTGGAAGAAGTACATGCTCGTATCACAGTCGGGACGGGATTATAGATCATGATCCCACGAGGGGAGAGTCGAACCCATGCCTGCCATCGGATGTCCAAAAGCGCGATCTACAAAGCGACAGTTGTAATGTGCTGCGTCCTTTTGTTGTCAATTACATGCTCTGAGTTTTGGGTGTTTCCATTGCATGAGGATGCCTACGATCTAATGTGAAGATTCCTTTGAAAAAATCGTCAACGTGGTTTGCTCAAAATTTTATTAATTTCCCCACTCAATTTTCAAATACTGATACGTCAACGGGTCGTGACTTTCCTATTTGTGAGTACATAGTTTCTCCAAGATACGTATATTTCGTTCCATGCCGACAGAGCAAGATATTTGTTACCCACTGCAAGCTTTATGAAGCCCAGGGAGTCTACAATAGAGCAACCTCGAGCTCTTTCTGAGAAGACTTCAAAAGGACATACGACGACTCTTGCTGAAAACTAGTTTGATTAGGGTTATAAATTTAAGTGCCTCAGTAAAGTTTTCCAAATATTTAACAGTTGATATGAGGAGTACATTTCCAAACCTGACCATTAAAGACACAAAGGACGTCAGTTCCTATTCTCTACTTTGGCATGTACCTGTATTTTTTCGACTAGCTTTGGATGTGTTTGTGACTGGTATCACCGACGGGCTCACCTTTTCCTTAACAACTGGTATCGTCACATTTAATCGTAATTCATTAACACTAAGCTGTAGTCGGAATTGCACCTTCAGTAGTATATACACTGGGGGTACGAGATCAAGTCCAACAAAAGCCTCTGTAAAGCTTCATTTATGAAATAAAGCTTTTGTCAGGCCCTTATCTCTCTCCGCTATTGTATATACCACTGTTTGAACCCCCAGTTAACTTCCTGGTCACTATGACCGCGAACCAACACTTTCCTGATCACGTGACACGATAGCTCTATGTCGTGTTGACAGGAAACAGTTTAATGTGATAGGATACTATTGGGATCACTCGACAAGGTAAGTGTTAAATATTTTGCATGGGGGGGTAACATTGTGCCGTATGGTATGATCAATAATTCCTCTCTGACGAAACCTCTCTCTGGCCCATGTTTCAAGTAGTACAAGTTCGGCTCGTCGGCTTTGATGTCCACTTTATCTATGTTGTAAGTTTTGACTGACCATGTCGGATCGGTGGCTCGTTTCCGAGTGTCCCCTTCGTGTTCCCCCGGCTGGTAGAGGTACCTCACGAGGGCCCTATCGTGTATCTGTTTCTCCTTCCCACGCGATGGTGCAGCTGGTTCGGCTATCACTGATTTCAGTTTGATAGCGTCGGCCGGTTTCTTGCCCGGTGAGACGGGTGGTTTCGTGGTTGATAGCCGACACCACTTGAGGTAGCTGTGCTACCCATTCCGTCGATCTTTGACCATCTCTCTTGCATACTGGTGTCTGAATAAGCGCTCGGCCAAAGTCCGATTGAATCTCTCGACTATGGCTTGGCTGCGATGAGCCCCGTCCGCAGTGACTTGATGTGGCTCTTCCTCATGTGCAGGGCCACCAGGTCGTTGGTGAATATCTTGCTCCGGTTGAATGTCGGGCTGGCTATCAGTTTCCTGAGCTTGTCTTCCTCTTTCGACCGAACCAGCTTCATGGTCACGCGTTTTCGTAAATTCTCCATCGTCTTACCGTACACTGAGTTGTTCATGAGCTTGTAGAGGTTCTTCTCGAAGTCACTGGTGGCCAGCTTTCGCAGGTCTGTGTTCATTCTGATGTAGGGCTCCATCCAGGGGCTTTGGTTGAACTTGAGCACCCTATGAATTTTAGTCAGCCTCATACCCAGCGACAGGTACAGCTGCAGGTTGCGGTAGTGAACGATGTACTTGGTTTTTGTCATCAAGTTGGGTACGAGTTTTTCAACGTTGGCCACCCGTCCACCCAGCAGGTTCCATTGGTAGTCAGACATCCAGTCCGGGTTCACCATCAAACGTTCTGGAGCCAGGGGGTAGCTGTTGTGTGACTTGTGTAATGCTGTTGGATACTCCAAGTCCACTTCGAAGTATGTAACCCTTCTCCGAATCCGGCGGTATGCTCATGACGTCTACCTCAAGCACCCACTCGAATCCCCCGGTGGCTAGATACTGGCTCATGGCCCAGCTGTACAGGTTGTTGGTGTCCAGGTAGAGGATGTGGGTGGTGGGCTTGCTAGAGTCGTAACCCTTCACGTACTCATTGTTGGCTTTCGCGTAGTCGGGTCTCGGCGAACTTGGCCCAGCCATCCATGTACTCGTAGGGGTGAACACCCTTCCTCATCAGCAGGGGCCGAGTCTGGCGTCGGTGTATCGATCAGTGATGGGGAAGGTATCGTTGGTCTTAACCAGACTGTCAAGAGACGACAGGAGGAACTGAACTGAATCGATGAACCTCAGGCCGTTTAGGGAAGAGGAGATGTATCTCTCCATGTTGTTGAGGATGCACGTCAGGTTGCTGTCAACCCTCGCGATGGCCTGCATGATCAAGTGAGAGTTGTACCCTCTCAAGTTGTGGAAGACCACGGGGATGTTGATTGTTTTGGGGTTGATTCTGAGCTTGAGGTTGCACGCGCTGTGAGTGGCGCCTCTGTACTCGTCGGTGACATGGCAGTGATCTCTCACCGAATCGCCGTTCAGCGGGCCATCGCACACATGGCAGTGAGTGCTGCAGCCGTGGGCTCGCTGGTCGGCTTTGGTCATACACATGGGGACGACATTGTACAGTTTCTTCCTGATGGCTTTCTCTTCCCATTGCAAGCACTTTAGAAACTTCTCAGCCGCGTCGGGACCCCTGTACACTACAGGAGCTTTCATTTCCCCATCACATCGGACGACCACGTATCCGAACCCACAGGCCTCATGCTCCTGCGTTTTGTGCGTGTTGGGGGTCGGCCCGATGTCAATGCTTTTGATCAAGGCTTCGAAGTCGGCGTAGATGACATAAGGCACTGGCATCTGATTCTTGTGGTTGCCGAATTTTAGGGCATTGTCGCCTTCCTTGGGCATGTCGATTCGTATGGCCGTCTGCCCCACGTCTAGGCAATCCTCCCGTTGTGATTCCAGCAGGTCGGGTCAGGTGAAGCCGTGCAGGCACCGTTCGCAGAAGTGACTCTTTTTTCTGTGTGCCGATTGGTCGTACAACAGCCTGCTGAAGTGTTTTATCCACGCGTAGTGATACTTATCACCTCACTGGATCATGAATATATTGATCACGCGGCGACCCTCCATTGAGCTGATCCTGTGCACAATCGTTTTGTTGCCTTCGTGCCCAAAGACGTTGACGGCTATATCATTCTGTTTCTCGATTTTGGTGACCTGGGATATCGGGGTGGGTTCGTCTATACCAGCCCAGTTGAGCCCATCATCTTGTGGATAGCTAGAAGGCCTGTTCGAATTAACGTCGGCTGGAAACAAGGCTGATCTGATCGCTAACCTCATGCAATCGTCCCCTCTGTTTTTGATGTTGACCATGGCTTGTTTTTTCTTGTAGTAGGGGGGCAAGTCTAGGTACGATCCGCCTCTGAACGGTACGTAGTTAGCTATGTCTAGATAGAGTTTATCGATTTTATCCACGGCCCACCCGGAACCCCTGTGCGTGAAGCATTCAAAATATTCCCGTATTTGTTGAAGACTGGTATCGATGGACTCGTCTATAGTCTCGGCATGAGTCATGACTTCTTGTTTAACCCGGAAGTAAGGCTGAACATACTCAATGGCACCATTCTGCTGTTTAACGAGCAACATTTTTGCCGTTATTTGAAACTTTAGACTTCCCAAATCGTTCAGTTCCTCATTAACTTTGTCAGTGATCAACGGCTTGACGTCGCCGATGACTATGTTCTTATCCACATGCATGCGCCAGCCTCTCAAATAGTTACCTACAACGCGTTCAGTGCGCACGAACTCTAGATCAACGACTCTGTGCTGATGCAACAGTTTGATTAGCTCGGGCTTCCTCATACGGGAATAACCTACTAACCCCAGCTCGCGGGCTTCCCGTTTGAGTTGTTTCACAGTGTGGGGAGGTTGTGCGCGGTTGTGCAACAGTGCGACTAGCCCGGCTTTCCTCATACGGGAATAACCAGTCAACCCCAGCTCTCTGGCTTGGCATTTGAGTTGTTTCACCGTGGCAGGGGGTTGTATGTCGTGTTATCTAAACAATTGGGGTCTCCTCATTCGGGAGTAACCCACTACACCTTGTTCTCTCGCAATCTGCTTGAGCTCTCGGACAGTAGGCATTGTTATACCCAGGTGTATACAATCCCTAATTGGGCCACCGGCAAGGGAGGTAACTCCTCCAACCTTAATGGAACTTTGCTGTGAGCAGGTGGAGGGCTGGCGCCAGTAGGTCCACTTTAACGTAATAATCAGCTATACTTAGGTAGACCGTTTTGGTCACGTACACCTGGGGGTAGATACTTCGTATTGTGTTGAGGTACTGATCTAGCTCAGGTTGAGTCGCGATTTTCCACCCACCTGTGATGGGGAAAGTATACCTGACGCCAT